AAATGTTTGTTGGACCAAGTTACTACATCTCTCTAGTACTTTGGTGTTCTACTATACAGAAACAAGAAACCATGCACACAAATTTAATCTTGTACCTGAAATGACGATTGAACAGGTACCTATCTTGTAGTTAAGGAAGTGTACAGAGCAATTTCATTCAATATTCTGAAACTGCACTAGTAAACTTGGGCAGCTTTTGGGTACATTACCTGCAAAATATTAGAAGAAAATCCTAAACATGATATATATCATTTAGTTGATATAAAGATGATAAAATAATCAATAAAAATATAGAAGACAGGCAGAGTCTCATAATTATATTCTATATTAGGAAGAAAGTCGGATGATGTAGACAAATCCGTGACAGAATGAAACGTTACCTATTGCCAATGAGATTTAGGGAGATGTTTAGTTCTACCCATTAAATAAAACATCCTAGGAGTTGCATAGCTAGAAACTGACAATAACTTTAAAAGAATCATCTGGCAAGCAGATGGAAGCAATGGGCTTTCTTTTCCGAATGACTATGGAGCTCTGAATGTGTTCCAGAAGACCAGCATACACTTTTACTTAAAAGTATTTGAAAAGTAAATGGGATCATCCAGGTTGCTGTAAGCCAGTGAATCTAACACTGGTTTGGCAAAATCACAGTGCAACTGATACAGGTTGCACTCAGCTAAGAGAGACATAATACTATTTGTTTTAACTTAAAGGAAAAGATCTCTTTTAAAGAACTAGGCATCAGTTTATGGCAATGGAAGCTTGGTGACTCAAGACAACCATCTAGGCCTAACGCAACAAGACTCACAACTGAACACTGCAAAGCCTGGTCATTCACAAAGGAAAAAGAAAGGCAGAAGACAAGAACTACATGATGGAGCCAAGCCTTACTATGAGACACCTAAAGCAGCTCAATTTAATTTAGTTGTTTGGAAAGATGAATACAGTGACTTGATCATGGTCTGTAATTTATTACAAAAAAAAAAAAAGTTCTTCTAGCAGAAGACTTTAATGTACTGAACAAAGGCATAACAAAATCCTACAGATTAAAGAAAAAGGAAAAAAAAAGAAAAGAATGGCAGTTTTAATGGCAGTGATAACCAACAAAAACGCTAATAAGGGACATGGTTGACTAACCATAAGGCTTTAAATTATGAAAGTCTTAAATCTTTCTTGAAGATTTAACTGAATTATAGACCAGCAATACTATCATTAGTCATGGCTGAGATTCAGTTACTGTTTGTGGGTGACTTTTCTAAATGATTTCCAGCCTACGTGATGTTTCCTTTTAAAGCAACAATAATTTGCAAAATCCAGCTGAGAACAGAAAACCATTTCAGTAAAGGACAAGCAAAGAAAGTGCTACTGCCTTCCAGAAAAGATACAAGATGCAACCTAATCCAGGGCTCCAGAGACATTGTCAAGTCTTCTTGGTTAGACAGAAACAAATGGATTGGCATCACAAAGAAAATGCAGGGTCAAACAATCCAGGGAGCTGAAGAGGATGGGCCATGGGATCCTGTTAGAGAATCTTCTACTCTCGTGAGTGGGAGGTAAATAATTGAGTGCACAAAGCTGAAAAGCTGCAGATTGTGGAACATGAGGCTTCATCTCAACAGGGCAGAATTTTGTATAGATGCTATATTTTGCATTGCGCAGGTAGCAACTTACTTTTTAAACGTGAAGCACTCTGAATACGTTAAACAGCCTTGGAAATTCAAAGAGGAAGACCTAATCCAAACCCAAATAGGTGACAAAGATAGTAAGGCATCTTCAATTATTTCTTCACTAGCAACAGGGCTCTGGGTAAACAGAGAAGTAAGAAATTCTCACTGATGAGAAATAAAGAGGGCCTAGAATCAAGCGGCATTTCTGAAACTCGATGGGAAAGTCCCTTACTGAAAAATCATTACTTTCTTCCCAAGGACAGTAAAAACTATAGGAGCAGGATCAAGCTGCACAAACACAAGCAATAATACCTTTGAAATAACTGCTAACACAGGAACCATACAGCCTGAAACACATACGAATCCCCATGCTAGGTAGTAGACACCAAGAAGGGGAAGGATAGCAGACATTAGAAAAGAGCACATTAAATCAGGGGCCAGGAAAGGTGATTTCAAGCTCCTTTAATGTATAAAATGAAAAACCACTGCAAGGAATTGTAACTTGTGAGCCATTCCCCAGGGAATTCAACCAGTCGCCAAAATGTTTTTCCAAAAACTGTAGCTTTCTTAATACAAAACACTGCACCTGAAACAAGTCAATTTTTCAGATTTTGTGGTGATAGAAGACAAGATAACTTGAGTGGACCTGTTGAAGCGGGTCCAGAGGAGGGCCACAGAGATGATCAGGGGGCTGGAGCACCTCTCCCATGAGGACAGGCTGAGAGAGTTGGGGCTGTTCAGCCTGGAGAAGAGAAGGCTCTGGGGAGACCTTATAGCGGCCTGTCAGTGCCTGAAGGGGGCCTGCAGGAAAGATGTGGACAATCTTTTTAGCAGGGCCTGTTGCAATAGGACGAGGGGTGATGGTTTTAAACTAAAAGAGGGAAGATTTAAACTAGATATGAGGAAGAAATTTTTCAAAATGAAGGTGGTGAAACACTGGCACAGGTTGCCCAGCGAGGTGGCAGAGGCCTCATCCCTGGAAACAATCAAGGTCAGGCTTGAAGGGGCTCTGAGCAACCTAATTTATTTAAAGATGTCCCTGCTCACTGCAGGGAGGTTGGACTAGATGACCTTTAAAGGTCCCTTCCATCTCAAAATGTTCTATGATACTATGAAACTGGCAGTTTTGTCCTGTTTATATGGAATATGGGCATGCAGAGGGGAGCCACAAGCAGTAATAAACCTTTGCTGAGTCTGTGCTAATTTCCTAGGTGAGCAAAACTATGAACTGAGTTGTCTGTGGGGGAAAAAAGGAGTAAGGCAGAAAAATGTGAATGAAATTCTTCCATAAGAAAAGTTTATTATGTGGCCAAAAAAGCCCCAATTCCACAATCAAGAAAGAGGAAAACTTTTGGTGAAAAAGAAACAGGATGTAGCAAACATATGAAAAGATCAACTTCTGCCCAGTACCTTAGTATCAAAGTAGGAGATTAGATAAAAATGTACATCCTTAGTAGATGTTAAGTCAGCAAAGAAACAGGAGTCCTAAAAGCGTTCACTAACAAGCTCTCTAGTCCATTGATTCTGATTTTAATTAAACTGGGGACATTAGAGGAAATACCTTAAGACGTTCATGAGAGTATTCCCAAAAGACAAATGAAATGACTCAATGTCAAAATTACAGAACAGCGATCAAGATGAAAAATTAGTGAATGAAAAAATAAGACCTCTAACTCAAAGGTTTTATGAAATACAGATTTTGTAGAAAAAAAGAAAAGGAAAACCCCAAACCCTAACTTCAATCTTAGATGACATCACTATACATTTGGTTTAATAAAGGGGACTGCATAGGTGCAACATACTTCAATTTTCGTAAGGCATTGACCTAGCACCAGAAGTCAAAAAGATTTACTGTACATAATCACATACTAAGAGGATTAAGAAATGCCTAGCCTGCAAGTCACAAAAAGAAGCTAATAAAAAGTTGCGCTCAGTGATGCTTTTCAAGTTAGTGTAGGTCAGATGCAATACAGCATTTTCAACCTGGATCTGAAAGTAAAAAATAACAACTGATACAGTTTGCAGGTGACGAAATTGGGCAAGCGGTGAGTAACCTGGTCCATCAGCACGCCAGGTCCATTCACACCAAGTGGATTTCGATACAGCCTCACGTTAAGCAGCTAGAAAAAGAACAATTCAGACCATACCTGTAGGAAGAGGGGAAACGCTACCATGGAAAACCAAGACTTGGGATGATCTCAGGGTCACTCCAGAGAAGCAGCTCAGGTGAGCTCCCATACGATGCTGCGAGAAAAGGGCTAACGCGATCCTCTGCAGACTTAAGGCAAAGGGCAGGGGGGACCTCATCAGGGGCACCAGGGCTTGAACACTCAGTTTGGAAAGGAACGGTTTTTACCAATCTGCTGAAAGATTTGACAAGGTGTAGAGAGGAAAGACAAGAATAATTCATGAGCTGGAGGAAATCCTTTACAGTGGAAGATACAAGGAGTTAGCTCCATCTATTTTGCTTGTCAAAAAGCAGATTGAAAAGTGACATTACAGTGTTTATATACCGGCCCAGGGGAAAAAAGTCCCACTGTGCTCTAAGGCTGTCTGAATCGGCAGGATGGACATATCCAGAACTAGTAACCGGAAGCCAAAGCCAAACAGATCTAAAGGAGAAGTCGGGCTAGATACTTAAACAGTGAGAACACGAATACCTCATCTAAGTCTTCCAACAGAAGGGATTCTCCATGTCCCAGCACCTCAAAATCAAGCCAATTGCGTTTTGTCAACACATATTTCAAATACACATTAGTTCTTGGGAAAAATGGACTGAAACGCCACCTGTGAAATGCGGGAGTCAAGTCACTGAGCTTCTTCTGGCCTAAGCTATGGATCTACAAAACACTCAAACCATTTGCAGCCAACCCTGATGACTTAACACAGAGAAAAACGGTTCTGCCAGAGCACAGAGCTCCTCACTTTCCTTGTGCAAACCGCAAGCGCTGCTCCAAGGCAGGGATGTGCTACCCTCGCGTCCCCCCACACAGCCGGTCGGGACTCACGGCAGCAAGATGTCTTGTGCAGTGGGTCTGGTGCAGAGGGAAGGAACACACATCACAGGGGCAGGGTGCTTGCAGCAGCACCTTCAAGGAGCCTTTTACACCAATTTATTTCTATACAAGATGGTTAAAAAAAAAAAAGCCCCTATTGGTTGTTCATACAGAAGTCTGGGATTCTATAGGCTTTGGGTGGGTGATTGATTTTAAATCCCAACAACACATGCTCTTTCCTTTGCCTTCTCATTCTCTTCCAAGTCAGCCTCCATGATCCAAAGAAACTAACAAGTGACACACAAGACTAGTAGTCATGTGGATCAATTTAAAAAAAAAAGGGGGGGGGAAAGGAGAATTGAAGACGAAGAGAAAGGGAAAAACAAACGAAGATTGAAAATAAAAATTCACCAGGATAATGCGTTTTATAAACACAGAGATAGAAACAGTTACAGCAAGGACAGAGCGGGTCAGGGGTGGGGAATAGATATTTATATATATATATATATATAAATTCAAGGGGCCTTCAGTTTATTCTTGTTGGCTCCCCCTTCTCATTAGATTGGTCTCTCTGTGGGGATCCTCATCCCCTTCTCTCCACTGTCCACCTTTTGGGGAATTCTCTCCCATGACCAGGGTCCAGAAGAGGCCACCACTGCCACGTGAGTCCAGCCCGTCTTGGCAAGAGGGAGCCTGGGAGAGCGCTGTGACGGGAGGGGAGCAGGAGAAGCTAGCCTTTCCCTGCCTCCTGCTGGCTCCGTGAAAAGACTATTCCTCCTCCTCCTTCCCTTTTGGAAACTGGGGGCAGGACAGGCATGTGAGAGTCAGAACTGCTGTTGTTCCGCCTTTTGGGAAAGGGAGAGAAGGGTGACAATTATTTTGGCAGTCTCTTAACCCTCCCTCCAGTTGCTTTTTGGTTTGTTGTTGATGCCTGCAGGCTTTTCTGAGGAGGTGTGGAGATGGAGGGAAAGCAGGAGGGAGAGGAGGAGGAGTACAAGCTGCTAGGACATCATCCACAACGGGCAGGAAGAGCAATGAGCAGGAACCCACATTCCTACAGGGCCTGGGCCATCGTGCTGCTCAGACAGCTGGGAGAGAGAAGCAGCAGCCAGTTCAGACAGACTCCTCTCTATTGCTCTCCACCAGGGGAGGAGAAAGAGTGCAATACTCCACAGCCCTCGGGCAGTGTAGGCACCTGTCCCGCCCAGAGAACATGCCTCACCTCACCTCTCCCCCCTCACTGGCCTCACCTTCCACTGGGGAGAAGGTTTCTCCCATCCAGTCCTTGGGGCAGGACAAGCGACCCCTCCTCCCTTTCAGAAGCAGGAGGGACAGGAATGGATATTTCTCTCTTAGACACTCAAGAAAATCCTCAAAGAACCCCATCCAGCTGTGAACCCTGCCACATTGTTCTGTGGCCTGCTGAAAACATGTGTCCGAGCCCCTGTACGTACAAGGACCGTCTCTCCATCCCATCCACCACACATGTCTCAACACGCACCCCCCCTTCATATGCATCCTACAGTGAGAGAGAAGGCAAAACGGGGGCCTTTCTTTGGGTTTGAAAGGAGGGGCTCTTGCACGAGGACGTGATCCCAGCACAGGAAAGGGGCTCTTGCACAAGGAAGCATCCTCCTACCAGGCAGGCTGTTGCACAGAAGGAGCACCCCCTTGAGACAGGCTGTTGTTCAAGGGGCTGCCATGAACAGGGTTACACGGCCAGAAGAGGCTGTTGCAGGAGGAGAGGCCGGAGACTGTTGCACGAGGAGGGCCGCTGCACAAGCGGTGCCCCTGGGCGCAGGCTATGCACAAGAGGCTTTCTGCTCCCTGGGCTGAGGTCTCTCTAGGAGCTGGAGAGGTGCTCCACTTGGATGGCGCTGGTGCTGACAGTGAGGCAGATGTCCTTGTGATGCTCTGAAGTCTTGTAAGGAGTCAGGTCAAAGGAGCACTGGGGGGGAGGGTTGGGTTGGTTAGTGTCTCCAGAAGGGCCCCCTGCTGCCCCTCCGCCCTGCGGCTGGAAGTGCTGCTGCTGCTGGGAGGCCTGGGCTTGCGCCTGAACCACCTGTTGCTGTGGGTCAGGGATGTTGTGTTTCCGCATGTGCTTCATCAGGTACGTCTCCTGCAACAGGAAGAACAGCGTGAGAGGTGGGGACAGCGTTTGCAAAAACCAAGGCCAACGGGGAGGCACAGATCAGTGCCTGGAGGAGCTACTCCCTGAGAAGTGCGTCCACTTCTGCTACAGCCCAAGGGCAGCAAACACTCACCGAGGTGTAGGCCCGGCTGCAGATGGAGCAGGTGTAGACCTTGGCGTGTTTCACCGTGTGCGTAGCCAGATGCACCTCCAACGAGGCAGCATCCGTGTACGCACGGTGGCAGTTGTGGCACTTGAAAGGTTTGTCTTTGTTGTGCTGCCGTCTGTGGGACTGGGGGGCAGCAGCCATTGGAAGGAAGGAGAAAGCAAGTGCAGGGAAGAAAGCAAATATTAGTACTGGAGAAGGCTTTACCTCTGACACCCCCTTTCAGCTAGGCCCTGCCTGCTGAGGGAGGTAGACCTGGCATCAAGCATAGGAGACAGAGCTTCTCCCTCCAGCCCACCACATCTTCCCCACAGATGCCCCTTCTCCTCAGGCATACTAGGAGTCTGAAGAGTAGAGTGTTCTGAACTCTCCACACAGCTCTTTCCCAGTCCTCTTCTCTCCTGCCTCACTATCTATATGCTCCCCACATCTGCCGCTGTCCTTCAGGGCAGGATCTGCTCTAACTTCTCACAGGCATTTACAGCTCTTTGCCATTTGGCACTCTCTACAGTTCCCCTCCTCCAGGATACTGCAACAGGACACACCACCTCTGTTTCCCTAAATCACTACTCTTATGCTCTCCATTTCACTGCAAAACAAACAAAAACTACCAATCCAGATTTCTTCTGTGTGACAATTAGCAAAATCTGGCCTCAGCTAAGGTAGAAACCGCTGCAAAACAGATGGAAGAAACTTTACCAAGGGTTTACCACTTTCAAGCTGAGTTTACAATTTTACAGTACGTGACTGTTTATGTCTTCTTTGGGTCACCAGTGCCACAAAAGGCAGGAATCTCTCCCCCACGCAGGGTTTCAACTGCTTTTCTGTATTCTTTCACTTTCCTCCCAGCTGCCCCAACTTCTCCACCTCCTCAGGCAAGTAGCCTCTCCTCCCACTTGACAGCAGCCCTTGCCACACCCACTGGTGAGCAGGACAAGCTGAGATTTTAACCCAAGCACAGCCCCTTACCTGCAGGTTGGAAAGCTGGGTGAAAGCCTTTTCACACCCAGGGTGAGCACATTTGTAGGGTCGGTCCCCGGTGTGGATACTGTGGAGGAGGAAGAGCACAAACGGGAGGCAGTGAGCCGGCAGGCAGGGCAGACTGCCAGGGCCTGACGCTGTGATCAGATCTCACAGCCACTCAGGAGAGCAGGGAAGGGGACGATGTTGCCTCCAGATGCTGTTCTATCTGGACAGAGAGCTCTGCCCAGCTCCTGTGTCCAGCTAGAAGTTAGAGAAGACAGGCAGTCAAGGAGATTTCAGTGAGTGACTAGGACTGAGGAGCAAGAGCTTGGCCAGCTTGGCATGTGAGCCACCTGAAAATGGGTTGGACAGGGGTCTGGAGATCCAGGCTCCCTGCTCCAAGCTCAGGGGTCCCACATGACCAAGAGGAGTCTGTTCTCTTGCTTCCGCAGTACCAAGAAAGCAGCTCTGTCCCTTCTCAGGATAGACACTCCAACACCTTTCCCTTTACATTATCAGGCTGGGACCATCTACAGCGTTCATCTGTCCCTGTCCCCCTGCAATGCCAGGAGAAGCTTCCACACACTCAGTCCAACCCCCGTGGTGCCAGGCTGGGATCCCCTACAGCCAATG